GACCCCTCTCCCCGTTGTGCACTGAGTGCGCGTGTTTTATCTGTCTTTATAGACACCTGTTTGGGTTCTTGTTGAAGTTGTAAAGCCGACAATAGGAGGATTTCCCAAATAAGAAGCCGAGCAAGATTGATAAGGTTGGACAAGCTTTTACTAAAACAAAGGTTCTAACAAAGGCCCTGCGGGCAGTCTCTTCAGGCCAGTCATGTGTGTCGGTGGCCGGCACGGATCTTCCGTCGCCTGTAGCCAGTCAGTGAAATGGCGCACAGTGATTGGCTTTGAGTTCTCACACCAAGACTCGTGGTGAGACGGATCAGATAGCATTTGCGCTGGCAACCACCCATAGTGTTAGGCTAAGGTGTCCACGCTCGAATATACTTGACCGGCGAAGACTACACGCGTCAGTGGCGGCAATGCTAATCGCAGACTACCACCACCTCACTGATAGGTGGAGTTCTTTTGGCTCCTTGTCCTTGGTGTGCATTGACCGTAGGTGCAGATGGAGATGATGTTGTTACTGCTGAACAGGAAACCAGGAAGCGGTAGCCAGCTGCTGCAAACTGCAATATGAAACAAGGTTTTGCAACTGCGCAATCGAATGCGCCACCACTCGTAGTACTCTACTGCAGATAATGGTGGGCCGACGCGCCGTTGAACGGAGTTCTGCGTCCCTAAGTGTCGTACCTTGAAAGCTGTGATGTGTCGTTTGGGTGGAGGTACACATACAAACAGGCAACTCCGAGTTAAGTACGTCCGTTCCCAGTTGTGGGGAGGCTTGACTAATATCCTAGAGATTCGTAGTATTGCTGGCGAGTACAAGGGAGACTGGAATGACCATTTGCGGCTTATTAGCTGTCGTCAGTTTGTCATATGCAACCCCAAGTGGTGCACCACCCGAGCTTCGAACTCGCGACCTTTTCGATCAGAAGTCTAACGCTCTAACCAGTGAATTCCGTTAGCGGTCGGTGAACGTTTGCTAACGCGTGTGGTCGAGATTCGTGAACGTAGTCCCCGCAACTCTAGTAGTGAGGAGCACAAGGGCGTCCCACAAGACTGCCGCAAAACTTGAAGCTTCATTCCTCAATTTGTTTTGTGGACATTCAAGAGCTCAATTGAGCTTACACCCGGACGCCGGTTGACTGACCTCGACTACGCCGATGGTATCGCTTTACTAGCATCAAACTTTGGCGATCTCCAGTCGATGGTGTCGCGGGTGAACGAGGTCGCGAAACCGGTCGGTTTGTCCATAAACGCTGGGAAGACCAAAGTATTTTCATGTTGCATCCCTGGCGAAGAGAAGGCACCTCTCGAGATTAGTGGCTGTCAACTTGAAGACGTCGACAGTTTCAAGTACTTGGGAGCGAGGTTGCTGCCGAATGGACAAAGTAAGGATGACA